GTTCCAGAGTTATGCTGGAACACACACACACACACACACACACACACACACACACACACACACACACACACACAAATTTTGGGATGATTTTAAATAAATGTGTTGGTTTTGCTTCTTAATAAAACAAATGCCCTAGACCTAAAATTCTGATCTGAAGGATATTTTCGATAACACTCTGGTTGATACAGATAAGACACTTAATGTCTCCACATTAAATTTTGACCTTTTTTTAATGCTACCTTAATGGGAAACATTTCCCTCCCTGCACTTCCTCTCCTGATTACATTTGAATAGGCACCCCATTCTCCAAATTTAAATAATAATAATAAAACAGTTCATTAGCAGACCTTAATTATTCCGGAGTGAGGAGGATCCTGGGTAAATTTATGACTTCCAACCCCAGACAGTTCGGTGAAGTTAAACAAATTGTGTGGGGATTCCACATCGTCATCTTTGCAATCCTTCTTTAAATTGATTATTTCAAATCCAGGGGAAGCCGTTTCAGGAATTGGCACCCTATTTAAGAAAAATAAATTACGGTAGCTCTTTATTTCAGATTTTCTGGTTCTTTGCTTAGCTTTCCAAAATGTCTAAAAGACCGTCTTGTGCAATGATGGCGAACCTTTTTCTTACGGCGTGCCAAAATTGCGCATGCACATGCCCACACCAATTCAATCCTTCCGACCACCTGCGTGTCTGCGCGCCCCTTCCCCCGCATGCATGCATGACCCCTCGCCAAGCTCCAGAGGGTTTCCTGAAGCCTGGGGAGAGTGAAAATGGCCTCCCCCAGCCCCCCCCGAAGCCCTCCGGAAGCCGGAAACGTACCATTTCCGAACTTCCAGTTGGCCTTTTGAGGCCATTTTTCGCCCTCCCCGAGCTTCAGGAAAGCCCCTGGAAGCTGGGAAAGGCGAAAAACAGGCCCGATGGGCCAACTGGAAGTTCATTCCAGTTTGTTCCGCGCTATGTTAAAAAGTTTAAAGTCATTAGCTCTAATAGAATTGCCTGAAGCTTAAGAGAGTAGAAAATATCGTGCAGTCCTTGGTGCTCTCTGAGCTGGGTGGTTTTCGTGCAGACGTTTCATTACCTANTGTATATTATAACCTATTAAATGGAATAACAAATGTATAACAATGACAAATGTAAAGAAGAATAACAATTATGTGAATGTATACTTACAATGAGAATAAAAAATAAAAAACTTTATTTAAAAAAAAGAAATAATCTTAACTGCAATGTTTGTGTCTACGTAACAACTCTAGGCTGATGACTTGTTTAACTCTACCCCCACCTTATCCTCCCACCCCAGTTCAGACAAGGCTGATTTTGCAGGTTTTGCTTCTACGAATGTCACTTCCGGCAAATCCTACTTGTGTTTTACCATCAAGAGACAAAGAAAAGTAGATCGCAAGGAACAATATGCTCTGTTTTAAGCTCACTAGTTTACTCACGAAGGAATTTCCAGTCTTGCCATTGTTGTCAGAAGCTTGCACTTCAAGAGTGTGTACTCGTTGTGTTTCATAGTCTAATCGCTTTGTGTTCTGCAAAATACCCAGCTGGGGATCAATTACAAATAAGTCTGTGACACGTCCACCGCTCTCTCCGGACAAAATGGAGTAAGAAATTCCAGTGGGAGGCAAATCCTTGTCAGTAGCAAACACGCTTCCGATAGAAGAGCTGGCTGAAATGAAATAGCAGTACATTAAGACAACAGGCAGGTAGTTTTGGAGTGTGCGCGGTGTGTTTAAGAGATTGTGTAGGCTTCAGGAAGGATCTACGGTCAAAAGGTTGGACACCTAACATCAAAAATGTCATCAAAAAAGCACAACAAGGAATGTTCTTTCTGCACCAAGTCAGGGGGCTCTAACTGCCCAAGGAGCTACTGATACAGTTCTACAGAGGAATTATTGAGTCTGTCATCTGCACCTCCATCACTGTCTGGTTTGGCTTTGCAACCCAACACAGACACGGACTTCAGAGGATGATTAGGTCTGCAGAAATAACAATTGCTGCCAACCTGCCTTCCATTGAGGGCCTGTACACTGCATGAGTCAAAAAGAGGGCTGTGAAAATATCTACAGACCCTTCGCATCCTGGACGTAAATTGTTTCAACTTCTACCCTCAAAATGACACTATAGGGCACTGCACACCAGAACAACTGCACACTAGACACAAGGATAGTTTTTTTCCCTGAACGCCATCACTCTGCTAAACAACTAATTCCCACAACGCTGTCAATTTATTTACTAAGACTGTATTACTATTCTTCTTCTCATCCTTCCTATTACCTATCTCCTCCCACTTATGACTATAACTATGCTGCTTGTATCTTCATGATTTATATTGTTTTATTTGTTTCCTAGTATGATTTGATTGCTTATTTAGTAATCATGGCTCTCACTAAGTGTTGTATCTTATGGTTCTTATGAATGTATTTTTTTCTTTTACGTACACTGAGAGCATCTGCACCAAAGACAAATTCCTTGTGCGTCCAATCACACTTGGCCAATAAAGAATTCTATTCTATTCTATTCTATTCTATTCTATTCTATTCTATTCTATCCCATGTATTCTATCCCA